AGCTAAACACTCTTTTTCGATTGTACAGTAGTTAATTTCATGTTTATTAAGCGTTCTACTCGCGTACATAATTGGTTTGTCAGCACCAATGGGTCCTTGTGACAAAACTGCGCCTATGCCTACATTTGATGCATCCGTTGTAATATTAAACGGTTTTGAAAAGTCGGGATACGCTAAAATTGGTGGATTTGTTATTAATCGCTTTATAGAATTAAATGCGTTAACGAACTTTGGTGTGTGCTCAATTTTGTTATTTTTCTTAAGGCAATTTGTTAATGGTTTAGTAATTGGAGCATAACCTTTGATAAATTTTCGGTAGTAACCGGAAAGTCCTTAAAAATGATTTTATTTGTTTCTGGGAATTTGGTAATGAAATATGCTTTATTTTCTCTATTAATTTGGCATTCGGCTTTATTCCATTAACTGAAATAATATGACATAAATACTCAATTTCATTCATACAGAACTCGGATTTCTCTGACTGTATTTTAAATTTATGCTGTTCTAATCTTTCGAATACTAATTTTAAACTTCGGAGGTGTTCTTTAAAACATTTGCCTAAAATGATGATATCGTCTAAGTATACTAAACAGACTTTGTTTATTAATCCTTTTAAAACATTATTCATAACACGCGCGAAACATGCGGGTGCATTTCTTAATCCAAAAGGCATTCGCAAAAAGTGCCAATGACCTTGGTCGGTTGAAAACGCTGTTTTATACTGGTCTTTTGGTTCAATCTCTTTCTGATAATATCCACTTTTAAGATCAAGTTTAGAAAAGTAGTTGGAATCGCCTAACAAGTCTAAAATAGAAGCTACACTGAGAAAAGTAAATTTTGGATAAATTACTATTCGTAGTAGTAAGACCAATTTGGTTATACGACACCGTTTCTACATCCAGTTCTATTTGCAGCATTAGGTGGTCTGAGGCTATTTCTTCCCTGATTTCCATGTTTTTTTATTTTTTCTTCGCCTCTTCTATTCACTATACGAGGGTGGATTGATAAGTTTCCGGCCTAACCAAGAGATGACGCCACTAGGCCTACCTTGAGGTGACATTCTATAGTACCATCCTTTCAGCCCGATCTCCTTGCTAGTGTAGGTTTGACAGCACGCTGAACAAGACGCCTCTGTGGTTTTCGTAAAAATGGAAAAGCAGGAAAATCGTGCTGTCATCAAATACTTTTATTTGAAGGGGTTAACGCCGAAGGAAATTAAAAAAGAGATGGACTCAACACTGGGGACATCCTCCCCGTCATATTCAACCGTTAAGCAGTGGGTTTCCGAGTTTAAAAAGGGTCGTGTGAGCACCTCTGATGGGCCTCGCTCAGGACGCCCCGTTGAGGTCACAACTCCAGATATGATCGAAAAAATTCATCAAATAGTGCTGGGAGACCGCAGATTGAAAGTGCGTGAGATAGCTGAGACCTGTAAGATGTCATATGAACGTGTGCAACATATTTTGCACCAACATTTGCATATGGAAAAGCTCTGTGCAAGATGGGTGCCGCGTTTGCTAACAGTCGACCAAAAATTGATTCGAAAAAACATTTCTACCGCAAATTTGTCATTGTATAAGCGTAATCCAAGCGAATTTTTGCGTCGATTCGTAACCGTTGACGAAACGTGGGTCCACCACTACACTCCTGAAACCAAAGAACAGTCTAAACAGTGGATTGGACCAGGGGAACCAACTCCAAAGAAGGCAAAAACAATTTTTTCGGCGAACAAGGTTATGGCTACTGTTTTTTGGGATGCAAGAGGTATTATATACATTGATTACCTTGCAAAGGGTAATACTATCACTGGTCAATACTACGCAGACTTATTGCAACGTTTGAGCCACGAGGTGAAAATTAAACGACCTCATCTGGCGAAGAAAAAAATCTTGTTTCATCACGATAACGCACCAGCGCACACGTCAATCGTTGCGACGGCTAAAATCAACGATCTAAAGTTTGAATTGATGCCGCACCCTCCTTACTCTCCAGACCTAGCCCCGAGTGACTATTTTCTGTTCCCTAATCTCAAAAAATGGCTTGGCGGTAAGAGATTTGCGGACAATGAAGAAGTAATCGAAGCTGTAAATGGTTATTTTGAGGAGCTTGACGAATCAGTCTATAGAGATGGCATTAATAGACTGGAACACCGCTATGAGAAATGTATCAGCCTTGGAGGAGATTATGTTGAGAAATAAAAAAAAAAAATTTTTAAAAACCTTGTTTTTCTTGGTCAGGCCGGAAACTTATCAATCCACCCTCGTAACATAGTCGATCACTGATCTGCCTTTCTTCCTACGTATGTCATGCAGGAGTTTTCTTTTCCTGTGTGGTTTCCGTTCAAGATATAAAGGCCTTGCTCCTCCATCCACTTGATTAGTTTTTTCATCGGAGTTTCTAAGTTCAGTTGCTGTGTCATCCTCTACTTTACCTCCTTTCTCGGCTGTTCTGGCATTTAGATCGCCCCCTATTATTATTGGCCATACCCTCCTTCGGTCTTTTCCTTCTTCCTTCCTAGCGTTATCCTTCTTACTTCATATTTTTTAGTCTGCTTTGTATTTGGTGATCTTTTTCTCTATCTATCCTTGTTTCTGTCAAGTTTATTCTATCATATTCCATTAATTTTTCCCAGTCTTCTTTGTCCAGGCCGCTTATCCCCCTTACATTCCAGAAGACCACTTGCATTTTTTCCATGTTGTCGTTAATTCTGCCTCGTTTCTACTCTTCTCTGTTTTTCCTTCCGAAACCAGTTTTCCAGCCTTTTGTTCCAATAGAGCTCTTTGTGTTTCGTCACTATTTTATTACGCCCTATCTTACAATCAGTTTCTTGCTTTTTCATTTCGTTTGCCTTCCTGATTACTTTTTTCCTATTCTGCCTTTCCAACCATGTCTCATCATTGTTTATGTAAATATTTTCTTCTTCATGCCTTAGCTTATTTTTATTCTTCATAATGTTAATTTTTTGTTCCATGTTTTCAATCTGCGCTCCTATAGTGTTGTTCATATTCTTCAAGTGCCAGAGTTTTCTTACCGTTACTTTTACTCCTAGCTTTTCTTTTATCCATTCTTCTAAGTTAACTTTTTCTTTTATGTTGGTGCCAGTGATAATAACATTTTTCTTTCTTATTTCCCTTTCTGCACCTTCGACTAGCCATTTCAGATCTTTGCTTTTTTTCTCTGTAGTTATGACCTGCAACTCCTCTACGCATGTCTCCATTCTCTCTTCTTTTTTCTTGTTAATTTCCTCTCCTAGCTCTCTTACTTTTTCTTTTGTCTCTTTTTCTTGTTCTTCAAGCGATTTTTTCATCAGTTCTATTTTCTGTTCGTTTGTACTTATCATTTCTCTTTATCTTCATTGTCCCTTTTCAGGGCATTTATGTCATTTTTCATTTCTCCTCCTTCTTGCTTTAACTTTTCCTCAAGTTTATCGTTTAGGCTCTCGTTTCCTTTTTCGATTTCCTTCTGCAGATTTTTCCATCCCTCTTCTTCGGCTTTCTCTCTTTTTAGTTGCTTTTCTTTTTCGTCTTTCCGTCTTTTCTCTAGCATATCTATAATTTGTTCACACATTTTTCTACTATTTTTATCCTCAGTATTTTGTTTTTTTATATCTTTTCCCTCTGGGCTTTCATGGGCTTTTCTTTTTTTTTTTCTTCCAAAATTTTCCCCAGCCAGCTCTTTAAACTCCCCGTGCCACTGTTTCTACTTGAGTTAGATGAAGAACGGCTATTGCTTTTAGATCCTAACGGCCTGCCTCTTCTCTTTGGTTTTGTCTCACTTTCGATTACCGTTTGATTTAATTCTGATTCATCACTGGATGACAACGGGTTTCTTACTTACATTAAAAAAAGTGAACCCATCGTGATACAAATGTTACGCCTATGGGACAACAAGCCACTATTCTTTTAATTTAAGTTTAACTAAGTTTTTGTGTTAAACTTTTTTGATAAGAGATTATCTCCCGCTATGCTCGTGTCGACCCCTCGGAGATCACACAAGCAAATTAATGCTACAAACTTAAAAATTACTCACTTACAAAGGAACCCTTAAAAATCAGAAGTTCTTTAATCTGATTATAATATCCTCTTTTCGCCACTCAAAAATCAAAGCCCAAATCGCTTAAAATTTAACTTAAAACTATACAAACGCGCAGAGCTCGATACAACACGTCCGCACTTCAACACTGGCTCTCACCTTCATTATAGTGGTTAATGATCGGTTATTATATTGAACTTGCGACTGTATAAATAAGGTCTAAATGTTTTGGAAGCCCATATTATAGCTATACACTCTTTTTTGATTGTAGAATAATTAATTTCATGATTATTAAGCGTTCTACTCGCGTACATAATTGGTTTGTCGGGGCCAATGGGTCCTTGTGACAAAACGGTGCCTATACCTACATTTGATGCATCCGTCGTAATATTAAATGGTTTTCATAAGTCGGGATACGCTAAAATTGGTGTATTTGTTATTAATCGCTTNTCATTATTATCCATTGTTCCAAAAAGATATGAACGCGTTACCTAAAAAAAACACCCGTCCACCCACGTAAAAATTTGGGTCCAAAAATATGTTGTAGAGTATGCTAACTTGTATTTACACACAAACTTAGTACTGTTAATAGACCGACACTGTGAACTTAGTTTAGTACTTAATGACCTTTAACAAAGACTCAATAAGCCTAAACAATCGTAAAGTAGAGTTTAATATAGTGAACAGCAATCTGATTATATACGGTGTGTCTTACGGTGACATCCCATTATACCTATTGTTTTCCAAAATTTCATAAAAATAGAAATTACTCGAAAACTACAACCGGTTCTATAAAAATGGCATGATCTTCTTTAGAGAAAGAGAAAAAAGTAGTTTCTGAAATATTTTACTAGGCCGCCACCGTGAGATATCCTGTATAAATCAATGTAATGTCTCCTACTGCAATATCCACTGTTAACTAAGAATAGTACACAACCACTTTCAAAAAATAGATTTCAAGCAATATTTATTTTTCAGAATTCCACGATCGAGTTCCTGCCTGTAGGCTCACCAGTCAGTTCTAATTGTAACAGTATACTTGGATATTCAGTGACACTTTAGCTTGTGACAGCAGTGTAGGTGTAGAACCATCAATAAGTGCCACTTTTGATTCTAACGAAAGCATAATTGAATCAGCAAATAGTGAAGTTAAAGTACGAGAACTCCAGGAGACAGAAGCCTCTGTAAGTCAATTAATTCTTTTCCGACATTTATGTACTATTTCCTTTTTAGAGTACATTATTGACATTATTGAAATCCACCATTGACGGACGAATACTACGACCAATATTCAGCACTAAAGCAGCCTTTAGGATTTGAGTTGGTGTGTTCCAACATATCATTAAGTTGAAATTATGCTAACACTGATTATTGTTGCAGATTCTTACAGACTTTGAATGTGAGCATCCAGATGCTAAAAAACTTACAAGCCAATGGGTTTTAATTTTTAAGTCAATTATTAATTTAGGAAAAAAGCGAACCTGCTCTTATATCAAAAGGATCATTGATATGCATATAACAGAAAACAGAAATTTATTTCTTTTAGAAAGTAAGGTTTCCTGCAAATGCTATATCTACCTGCGGCTCTTATGATTTTACCGTTGCTGTTTCCATCTATCAACCGCCGCAAAGGAACAAAATCTATAGATCATACCACCATTGAAAAATACTCTAAAGCAGTTCAATTTTTGGTTTATGCACAGGTTCGAGTAATTCCTTTATCGTTACTTTGCATATATTTACGTTGCAATGGAGCGATTATGAAACATTATTTACGTATCGCGTTCGTTGCTTTCCAACAAGAAGATCTATTGCGAACAATTCTGGAACAGCGAGACAAGCGATTCGAAACTAGCTAAGAGCAAAGAGCAGCCTGTTGTCATTTTAGTCGGCAACTTGTCCAATCCTAGGTCATACGTGAAAGTAAATGAAATTTTATATGAATTGGACACACCGCTCAAAGCTGTTCATGTGTGTTTTAAATCGTTTTTTGAATTATACCAAAGATGATCCTTCCTTTGTTTCGGTAAATGCCATTTATTCAGACATTTTACACGATCAAAAGGATTTGCTAAATGCGGAGTAAGTCATTTTGATTATATTTATTTTTATGTATAGAAAATACGATGTGGTGGTGTGTATTGTGCGAAAAGTTTTTCAGTCCGAATGGTTACTTTCTGCATTTTTCTATTTATCATAGAAATTTGTCATTTCAGTGTGTATTGTGCGTCAGAACATTCCCAAATCTAAAACGTTTAAAAAAGCTTGTCTCATACAAACATAAGGATGCTGATGATCAATGTTCCTTGCAGAGCAATAATTGCTCCAAACCCGCTACTTCACTAACCAACAATACTATGTTAATAGAAGGTACCCACGACTGCATGACAGCAGCCAACACTGTTGCAAATCCCATTCTTCCAATTGCGAAATATCAGATGACCGTGAAGTTCTGTATTTGAAGCTTTTTTGAAAAATTTAGTGCAACCAACACCTTCCTCGAAAATATGCATACGAAATTGTAAACGATGTAAATAGCTATTTCGCCAATGAGGTAAATTCATTAAAAGAAGATGTTTTAGAGAAACTTACACATCATAATCTGCCATGTAATATTTTATCAGATTATCAGACATTATCACAATTTTTAATAACGTTGCTTCTACTCGGTTAAGCTGAAAATTATCTAGTGAATGTAAATGCATTAAATTCTTTAAAGAGGCGGGCCTTTACATTGAACCAATCTCTGTAGTCATCGGTAGTCGTCAAAAAATTGTAAAAAAGAATAATTTAACAACCACCTCTTATGTAAATGCCACCGCCACATTCATACCGATACGTAAAATTTTACAGAAAATATTCGAGGTACCTAATGTTTTTACTGCTACATTAGAATACATTAATTATTTGTGAAACGAAAAAAATATCATTTGTAACTTCATTCAAGCCAAACTGTGAAAAACTAAATCATTTCATCCTGATCAGTTAGTATTACCTTTATTTCTGTATTATGACGACTTTGAGTGCGGAAATCCACTAGGGAGTCACTCTGAAATTAACAAAATTGGCGGCGTTTATTATTGTATTCCTTGTTTACCACCCTAGTTCAGTTCCAAATTAAACAATATATTTATGGTTCTCTAGTTTAAAACTCAAGACAGAAAACGTTTTGTAAATCAAAACAACTTTGATATTATTATGGAAGAACTACAATATTTATACGAAGTTGGCAAATTAATGCTACAAACTTAAAAATTACTCACTTACAAAGGAACCCTTAAAAACCAGAAGTTCTTTAATCTATTTACTGATTATAATATCCTCTTTTCGCCACTCAAAAATCAAAGCCCAAATCGCTTAAAACTCAACTTAAAACTATACAAACGCGCAGAGCTCGATACAACACGTCCGCACTTCAACACTCGCTCTCACCTTCATTATAGTGGTTAATGATCGGTTATTATATTGAACTTGCGACTGTATAAATAAGGTCTAAATGTTTTGGAAGCCCATATTATAGCTATACACTCTTTTTTGATTGTAGAATAATTAATTTCATGATTATTAAGCGTTCTACTCGCGTACATAATTGGTTTGTCGGGGCCAATGGGTCCTTGTGACAAAACGGTGCCTATACCTACATTTGATGCATCCGTCGTAATATTAAATGGTTTTCATAAGTCGGGATACGCTAAAATTGGTGTATTTGTTATTAATCGCTTTATAGAATTAAATGCGTTAACGAACTCTGGTGTGTGCTCAATTTTGTTATTTTTCTTAAGGCAATTTGTTAATGGTTTAGTAATTGTAGCATAACCTTTAATAAATTTTCGATAGTAACCGGAAAGTCCTAAATATACTTTATTTGTTTCTGCGAATTTGGTAATGAAACATGCTTTATTTCCTCTATTAATTTGGAATTTGGCTTTAACGATTAACTGAAGTAATATGACCTAAATACTCAATTTTTTTCATACAGAGCTCGGATTTCTCTGACTATTTTAAATTTATGCTCTTCTAATCTTTCAAATACTAATTTCGGAGGTGTTCTTCCAAACTTTTGCCTAAAATGACGATATCGTCCAAGTATACTAAACAGACTTTCTTTATTAATCATTTTAAAACATTATTCATAACACGCACGAAACATGCGGGTGCATTTCTTAATCCAAAAGGCATTCGCAAAAAGTGCCAATGACCTTGGTCGGTTGAAAACGCTGTTTTATACTGATCTTTTGGTTTAATCTCTATCCGATGATATCCACCTTTAAGATCAATTTTAGAAAAGTAGTTGGAATCACAAATCTAAAATAGAAACTATGCTGGGGATAGGATATTTATCCTCAATCGTTTTACTGTTTAATATTCTGAAATCTACAACTAAATGCCATGATTTATTGCCACTTTTGTCTGCTTTCTTTGGAACTAAAAATATTTATGAACTGTATGGTGAACTGCTCTCTNCAAGTTTTTATTCTGTCATGCGAAGAGGAACCAGTTTTTGGTGAAATAAAAGATTATCTCTGAAACAAATTCAATCATGATTATATTTATTAAATTGAACACAATATCTTTTAACAAACACTATCACAGTTACGAAGTAACTTACAACAAAGACACACAAATTATTCACGCATCTGATATTATTCATCACGTCAAATGCATCATGTATAAAAAAAATGAAACTCATTTCGTCATTTTACCTTACCACATTTAATACTCTTACTTTTTCGCCCGATGCAGCCACCACTTTTTCTATAGGTATATTCAAAAAAGTATAGCAATGTGTACTACACCCCTCCGCATTATTTTGTTTTTCTTTTATTTTTTAGAAATATTAATTCATAGTAATGTATTATAATGATTTTTTGTATATATATTTATTATGTATTTATATA